GAATTTTTATGAAAATGAGAAAATGATGTGAAGCCTCACCATGGCGTGTTGAGGAACTTTTGGGTCGCGTGTTTTTATGGACCAACACGACGTGTTGGCGGCTAGATGAGAAAACCCTAATTTTGGGGTTTTGCACCTTATATAATCTATGTAAGTCCCATGGGGTGGTCTTTTAGTAGCCTCCAACTCCCCATATCGACCCTTGAGAACCCTAATCATCTTTCCCTCTTATTTTTGAATTAGTGTGGTGTTTTGGAGCTAAAGAAGGAAGAAGTTGGAAGAAAGAAGTAAGGATCAAGCAAGCAAGCCTTCATCTTCAGTTTAGCACTCTTATGTACCTTTGTAAGTGTCCAAGATCCGATTTTTATTCCTCTATGTTGCTAGATCTTGAGTTTTGTCCCTTTTTCTTGTTGTTCTTGAGTGAGGGAATGGTTAGATCTCATAAAGTTAACAACTTTATGAATCTCCAGGTCTAAGTGACCTTGTAGACTCTTGGATTTGGCCTATAGTCGAGTGTTGATGTCATGCATGGAGTGTAGGTCATAAATCCCCGTTTTGACCTATTTTAGGTTCAATACATGCATTGGGTATGCATGTCTATAAAGCACCGACTTTTGGGATGGTTTTGGTGCTAGTATCTCTTTTGGAAAGGATGGGTTTCAGACTTCAAGGATTTAGTGCTTATGGGTTAAGCCCTTGAATCTTCATGCCTTGTGGTTGGGTTTTCGGACCCTTGGAGTAGTTCCAAGGAATAAAGTTGGAAACTTTATCCTTTTTGTTAGCATTTGGGTATATATCTGAGCCTTGGAGTCCCTGGAATCGAAGAATACATCTGAATGTATTAAGTTGTTGGAACTCGGGAAAACATGGCGTGTTTGCAAGCCAACACGATGTGTTGACTGGAGTTTCCCGATCATCTTAATGCTATCGAAACACAACGTGTTTGCTAGTAAACACGGCATGATGGGTCAACATGGAATGTTGACCTTGACTGTTGACTTTGACTTTGACCAAGTTTGACCTTGAGGTATTTTGGGTATTGTTGGGATTTTGATGGAATTGGTCATTTGATGGTTATAGGCATTTGAGTTTGAGAGTTGAGATTTGGAGTCAGACCTTATCAGTTTTGTGTTACTTGTGAGGTGAGTTTTCCTCACTATACTTTCGGGTCGAAGGCACAAAGGCCGGCTTAGTGGTTTGATAACCTGATATTGTTGATATGCCGGGTATGGAATAAATATGCATGCTAGTTTTAATATGCTAGTCTGGTAGATCTGTAGGACTACCTATGATACTGTCTGTCTATATGTTTATGATATTATCTGATACATGTCGACATATTGTGTGGGGTGGGTTGAGGTTGTAATGCTCCGTGTTGTAGCCAACAAACCCTAGAGCATACCAGACATAAGATGAGGGTCGGGGAGGGCATGCCAAACTCATACTAAAGGCACATGAGTAATCCAGTCTGTTAGTTGTAGACCCATTGCATGTTATTATGTTATGTGCTATTTGCTTATGCATTGGTATTTTGGGGGAACTTACTAAGCTTTGGGCTTACAGTTTTTGATTATGTTTCAGGTACCTCAGATGATCGCGGGAAGGTAAAAGCGTGATTATGCACCTCCTCATATTTTGTTTCAGGATTTTGGGATTTCTCTGATATTGAACATGTTTTGAAAACTATTTGTAAACAATGATGCTTTCTGGGTTGTTTTAAAAGTTTAAATTTCTCATGAATTTTATGGATGTTACAAAAATTTCATGCCTTAATTTACATGGGCGTGGAACACTCTAATAAGGATCCGAATATTTTCCTAACTTGATTTTGGCTTATCCATTTGACCTGATTCCAATTACACTAGTTAAGGATGGATGAAAAAAGATGTATTGAAGAGTTTATTATATTTATGACCCTCAAGGGTAATTTGGTCATTTTATTGACCTTCTTCTATATTGTATAGGTTGTGTCTAATAGGTTATTTCTTGTGAAGTTGAGCTAGAAGAGTGTGTCAATCTACATTTGAGAACTAGGTGTGTATGTGTTCGCATTTTTACCACTTTGGGGTACATGACAAAATGAGTTTATGATAATGAAATACTAATGCTTTGATATACGAAACATTTTGAAATGAAAGTCTTAAATGATTTTGGAAAGGATGTTTTGGAAGAATGTCTTGAAGGCAAGAGCGTTTTGAAAGACTAAAATGTTTTGAAAGAACTGATGTTTTGATAATGTGTTTGATATGTTTTGAAATATAAATTATTTACTTTTGAAATGAGTATTTTGATACTAACGTATGATATATGTAAAGCATGGAAATAAAAAATAATAATGTATGAAATATGTAAAGCATGGAAAGAAATGAGAATAATGTATGTAAATGTGTAAAGTATAGAATGTAATGAAAAGAATATATTGCTCGAGCCATGATGTCCCCGTAACGAGATATAGATGAATCTATCAGGGTGGTGCTTCCTCTTCGCGAGATAGATTGCCTAACAGAAATGATGCCTTAGTGGACTGATATTGTTCTTTCCACCTTGGTATAAACATAGAGATATTGCTAGAACCTAAGTATAAAAATGGCAATGGTTGAATACCAGAATTAGCCTTTAATGATAAGAGAGAATGGAATATGGAAAAAAGTCTTTTGAAACGAAATGATAAGATATGAAATGATATTTATGATGTGTTTGAAAGGAGTTTTCCTTGAAAATTCTTGAAAAAGTTTTATGGTCTAAACTATGTCATGCTATGTATGAAATGATTTTCATGTAAATGATTGAAAATGCTTTATGGTATGAATAAAAGGAGTTTTTCTTGAAAATAATTGAAAATGCTTTATGGTATAAATGAAATGAGTTTTTCTTGAAAATGATTGAAATGTTCTATGGTTTAAAACTCACGTAGCTCACGAGACATTTTTGTCTTATATGTCTCTTTTTAATGCCATGTATCCCAGGTTGTATTCGAGGAGAAATATGATAGATGGAAGATAGAAGTTAAGAGATAGAGAATGGAGCGGAACTTGTTAAGTTCCTTTTAAATGACATTGATGTAATCATTATTTGTTTGTTATGGTTTGTATGATGTTTAATGGTAACACACGACGTTTTAATCATAAATGTTTTTGTGGGACCGGTTTTTGTTAAATGTGGGTTAATACTCATAATGATTTTATTAAAACCATATCATTTTAAAGTTTGAAAAAGTTAGAAATTTTTGGGGTGGTATAGTTTGGTATCAGAGCGATAGTTTAAGCGAATTAGGATTGGATGATTCCACTCCTAGGCTTAGACTTTGGTTATGGAAAGTATGAATGTGTCATAGGATTTCTATGCCTTAAGTTAGGTAGAATCTTGTGTAACAAGTGATAGGAAGGAATTGACATGCTAGATGTTTATGAATCTCCACATAAGTTAGATGAAATTGTAGAATGCTACATTAAGTACTTTTAAAATGATGAAAGTGAAACTAGTATATGGACGGTCTAAACCATTGGAACAAATCTCCTAAGTGGTGAAGTCAAGGTGGGTTATGTATGATGTGGGTATACTAGTATAGGGTCTGTAGTGGAACCATGAAAGGGATTTGTGAAATGTGGTAAAGATTTGAGTGAGTTAGGGACTTACTGAACACATGCATTGTGCTAAATAAGAGTCATGAAGGAGTTTAAAACATGTTAATAGATGATTGAAAATTTTGATAACTTTAACTTTTCTATCAAAGTCAAACAGTTAGTACAAAAATGAGATAAAAGATAGAAGATAAGAGATAGAGAATGAAGTAAAACTTGTTAAGTTCCTTTTTTAAATGATATTGATGTAATTCTTATTTGTTTGCTATGGTTTGCATGATGCTTAATCGTAACACTCAGTGTTTTAATCATAAATGTTTTTGTGGGTCACGTTTTTGTTAAATGTTGATTAATACCCGTAATTATTTTATTAAAACTGTAACATTTTAAAATTTGAAAAAGTTAGAAAATTTTGGGGTGTTACACTCATGTCCGTGATCGATTCTGCAATCCTTGACATTCATTCAAAATTATAGATTTCGAATGTTATAAAATAGAATTCTAATATCAATCTGTACTTGAATAATTTCGAGATCGTGTTAAACACATTTTCTGAAATCCGTAATTCGACCTTATGGCTTATGCCTAGGTTATACGAATTTAGACATGAGATAATACAAGAAAATTAATTTAGATTACAAGCTTAATCTAAATCACAAACACAAAATATATTGTTGTTTTTATATGTAGTCCGTGACAACAAACCGATAAAGTAATGATGTTATATTTCGTATGTCTTTTCTGCAACACCAAACCTTTAATTTATTAGAAGAATATGACAATTTTAGAGGGAAGTTTTGTATCACTTGGAATAGACGTGATCCTTAGGTTTTGGTGGGATCGTTATCCTGGACTTTTCCCCTTGGAACCTCACTAGCAGCGATGCATCCGAACCACCGTATTACCAAATTCATATTAGTTATGCGAGTGTACACTCCGTACCTACAGTCTCAAAATATAGACCGACTAAAACTTAGCCGGTCTTGAGTAAATTATGGTTACACTAAACGTGTTATGTGGCAATGACATACAGCTAAACCTAAACTATCCACATCAGCCCACATCAATAGCTCTGTAAACCGTTTATCAGGGTGTTTCCGGCAAATGATATTTATGCAAAATCATGAAATTTTTTGATTATAATACACCAAAAATGATTTTAGGATACCTCTTTTTATTAAACTTATATGTTTTTATGCCATTTTCCTATATTAAAAGACTAAGAATATGATGGTTATCGTAAAATTATCGTTTTTTAAAGATGATATATTCATTTGGTAAGTGGGAAATGCCGAATTCCGATTGCACCAACCACGAGGATTACCTGCTATAGCCGGTTGCCGGTGGCGGGGTAGTTGGCCAGAAGGGTTTGGTAATATGATGCGACCCATTGCCACGTCTTGCCACGTTGGAGCGGTGGTCGACACACAAAATAAAATTTAAATTCTAATAATGACCAAAATACCCTCAACCTCCTTCTCCTATTTCATCCCTTCCAATGCCTCCATTCTCACCAACCCCATTCAAATCCGTCGATCAATGACGACGCCGTTAATCTCATTGACAACTATAGTAGCTATTATATACGATTGCTGCCATACCCATTAACTAATCAATCTCAGTCTGAATCGAAGTTTCTGCCATGGCCCCCGCAGCCGGAAACGCTGCCGTTACTTCTAAAGCCCTTGCATTTGGTGCAAGATCTTCAAGGCTTTCGGATGCCCATTTGAATTCGATCCGTTTCAGGAAACCCCTTTTCGGATTTCGATATAATATTGAACGGAAATGGGGGAATTTGTCACTGCAAGGTGGTGGCGGGAGGAACATGGAGGCGATTGTAGAGAGAGGAAGAAAAAGAGGGGGATTGGTGAAGTGTACGGCGGAGGGTATAGAGAGAGGAATACTGACAGGAGGAAGAGGGCAAGATGGTACTTTTGTTATGCCGGAAAGGTTGAAGGTGGTGGCGTTAATGGCATGTGTGATGTGTTTGTGTAATGCTGATAGAGTTGTTATGTCTGTAGCTATTGTTCCTCTTGCTGCCAAACATGGCTGGAGCAGTTCTTTCTTGGGCATCGTTCAGGTAATATATATTCTTGCCTCCTTTCCCCTTTAATGATTAGCTTTGACTTTTTGTTACATTGAATTCTTGATCATATTTCGATGATCACCATCCTAAATCAATCGATCATGTAGTTAATTATCACAACAATAAAGCTCGTGTAAAAAGGTGGAATCTTTAAAATCCAGGTGTCCTATCGGTTTCTCTTTTCTAGTATCAAATATGAACAATATTGACCTATTGATTGTTGATTACGTTGAAATGAATTAGGATCAGCCCCCAAAATGCATTTGCAGAAACTATAATTTTTCATGATTGATTCTAATTCTTTGTAGTTGATGAATACGCTTTAGTTCAAAGAGTATTATCGACTTGATTTGTTAACCTGTATCATTGTATGCCAACTGGATGAAAATGATGTAATTGATATTGTTATGAAAATCTAAGTACTACTTGAATGACAATATTTTGTTGCTTCTTTTCTTTATGCATTTTCTCATATAAAATAAACAAGAAAAACAAGAAAAAAGGGAAGATCTATCTAATTGTTTGTGTAAAGGGTGATACCTCTTTCATTGCCTAATGAGTGTATGCCTTTTTATTTTAGAAATTTTAGTTTTTGGTTGGAATTAATACCTCTTTTTGGTAGTTTAAAATTAAGGTATTAATATTGAGAAGGATGTAGTATTGGTATTAGGTTTGTGAATTGATTTTTATTTTTGTGGTTGTTGGACTTAAAAGAGATTGGTTGGCATCCACCTGAAAAGATTACAAGTTGGAAAATATATGACCAAATAAGATATTAAATAAGTAAATGTCGCAATAAATAATTTAATATGAAACATTTTAAACAGCGAAAATTGTTGTGGTTCATATGATGTGAATTAGTGTGGTGAATGCCAATAGGGGCGGATCTAGGGTGGGCATATGCTCTTTTAAAATTTTGTGCTTACTATTAATTCTTTAAATATATAGAAATAATTGATAACTTTTTGTTGTACTTATTTTATGTATCGAAAATATAAAACTTAAAACATGTTTATTGTTTTGAGTTTGCTCCCATTTGGATTTTTTTCCCGTTCTACATAATTTTATAGTGTTTGTAGGAATAAAAAAATAAAATAAAAAATTGATTGGAAAGAAAAGAATTATTGTAATAGTTAATGAAAAATCTTGAATCTACCTAACCCTTGCATTGGATTTCAAGCATGAAAAGTCATTAGCAGCCATCTCCCATTGAATATGTTGACTAGACACGTGTCAATATACTTTTCAAAGGACTAAAAACTCCTACTTACCAACCCATTTATGACATTGAGCCTTTGTGACTTTTGTTATTAGCTTGTTTTATATCTTGCAAGTTGCAAGTTTATTTCATATTATTAGGGAAATCAAATAAACATAGAAAACTAACCAAGATTTTATGTAATTATTGCATGAATAGTCTTCTTTTCTATGGGGATACATTTTTTCATCGGTTATTGGAGGAGCATTAGTGGACAAATACGGAGGAAAACGGGTGTTAGCTTGGGGTGTTGCCTTTTGGTCTTTAGCAACACTTTTGACTCCATGGGCTGCAAATCATTCCACAATTGCCCTTTTAGCCATGCGTGCTTTCTTTGGTCTTGCAGAAGGAGTCGCTCTTCCTTCAATGACAATTCTTTTATCAAGGTAAACTCCATTCTCTATTGAATGAAGAAAAACTGTTTCTTTTTAACAAGTAATTAGAAATTACTGTTTCTTAGGTGGTTTCCATGTAACGAAAGAGCGACAGCTGTTGGGTTATCAATGGGAGGATTTCACCTTGGGAATGTTGTGGGATTAGTGTTGACACCTATCGTCATGTCTTCAATTGGGCTTTCTGGCCCTTTTATTCTTTTTTCAAGTCTAGGGCTTTTATGGCTAACAACATGGACACTTCGGGTCACAAATGATCCACAAGAAAGTCCTTCAATAACCCAGTCGGAATTGAGGTTAATTCAAGCCGGAAAGTCTGATTCCGTTCCTCTGAAGAAGGGTGAATTCCCTCCTCTTCGATTATTGTTGTCCAAAATGCCAACTTGGGCTATCATTTTCGCTAATGTAACTAACAATTGGGTAAGTTTTTGCTTTTTGTTTTTTGATTCTTATATGTTTCAAGTGTTTATGAATTACGATGATGTATTTTTTTTTTTTCTTATTGGTTTTTAGGGATACTTCGTTCTACTCTCATGGATGCCTGTGTACTTTAAAACTGTGAGTAGCTAAATTGACCATTTTACCCTTACACTTTTAACTAACGATTTTCACAATACTCATCGATTAAGTCAAAAAGCTCGATTGTTGATTTATGAAGTCTTTTTGTTTTTTTGTGGTGAAAAGGTATTTAATGTGAATTTAAAGCAAGCAGCTTGGTTTAGTGCTGTGCCATGGGGAACAATGGCGTTCTCAGGGTATGTTGCAGGAGCTGCTTCTGATTATTTAATCAAACAAGGATACTCTTTGACTTTTGTTCGAAAAGTCATGCAGGTAATCTTCTTCTTCTTCTTTTTGTCTTGTCTGTGTAAAAAGACATATAGACCCTCGTCACAAATTGAAAAAGACGTAAATACCCTCTTGCAGTCGATTGGTTTCATTGGGCCAGGATTTGCTCTACTGTGTTTGAATTATGCGAAGACACCGGTGATTGCTTCTGTGTTCATCACTGTAGCACTCAGCTTGAGTTCTTTCAGTCAAGCTGGATTCCTGTTAAATATGCAAGTAAGATTCATGTTTTTCTTTTTAAAAGCAAAAAAAAAAAAAAAAAAAAAAAAAAAAAAAAAAATCAACATACTTTGGACCCTAAATTGTTTCCTAATTTTCTGATCTTTTTCTAGGATATTGCACCTCAATATGCGGGATTTCTCCATGGTATGTGTTTTCAACATCTTTAAATCGTTCATTTTATATTTGGAGATTATTATTATTATTATTTTTTTTGTAACATTTGTTTATAAATAATTTAGGGATTTCGAATTCTGCGGGGACATTGGCTGCAATAGTTAGCACAATTGGAACAGGTTACTTTGTTGAATGGCTAGGATCATTTCAAGCGTTTTTAACTGTTACAGCTTGTTTATATTTTGTTACAGCCATTTTTTGGAACCTATTTGCTACTGGTGAAAGGGTCTTTTAGGATTTTATCACAAAAAAAAAAAAAAAAAAAGTATTTTATTGGTAGGGAGATCAAGTTTAGTGGGATTCTTTTGTGATAAAATGAAGGGTGGAATGTTTTATGATATAAGTTGTAGGTTGAAAGGAAGAAAAGAACAGAATATTTGTTTAATCTTTGTGCAAAATGTAAAAGTTGTAGAGGGAAAAGTTGGAAAGAATATTTGTTTGGTCTTTGTATTATTTTGTTAAGTAATTGACTTTTTATAATATAAAAGTTACTTTTAAGCCTTGTATTTATTATTATTATTATTATTACTAGTAGTAGTATTTTATACTTCTACACGCTTTGTTGATTGTCGTTGTCTTGATTGTAAGCTTTGAAAATTATGTAAACCCAAAACAAACAATGAAACAACAAAACGTCAAGTCAAATCAAACCGAACTTGTTGGTTAGTTTTGTTGACAAAGGGTTTAGGATTATAGAAAGTAATGTTTGGTTTAAGTAATGATCAAACCACTTACAATTATAATGGTTTTGGGATCACATTGAATTTGATCAATAATGAACTATTTTGCACATCAAACATTACTTTAGATGACCAACCATGAAATTTGTCTCTCAAATCGGCCTATGTGATATATGGTACAACATATATATATATATATATATATATATATATATATATATATATATATATATATATATATATATATATATATATATATATATATATTCACATTACTTAAAAAATTAAGTTTGTACGTTCAAATAAATATGTAAAAAAGTTAGAAAATGAAAAAATAAATCTAAATAAACATGCATAAGCTTATGTAAGAAGATATTGGGAAACAAATATAAAAATAGTTGTACATGTCGGTTTGAATATAGTAAGTTAGTAATTGTTACAAGTTATCATTGAAATTGATTTTGACCCATGAATTTATTAATAATTTTTAGTAAAATACTTTTTTGAAGTATTGGAATGTTGTTTAAATACTCTTATTATATATGTTAAATATTACTATCTTTTTTTCCTAAACAAACCTTTACTTTTACTAAGCTACCATTAGGGATGAAAGTGGGTCCAAATCCGGACCGGATGAACCTGGACCCGGAAAATCCAAAACCGGTTAACAAGATTTTTTAGAATCGGAAACCGGACCGGTATATAGAAACCGGTTCCAGTTCGGTTCTGGATACGGTACCGGGTAAAGTAGGTTTAGAATCTGAAAAACCCGGAAACATTAAAGTGGGTAGGTTGGAACCAGATAAACTGGGTTTAGAACCGGAAAACCCGAATTTTTTTTTGGTAATTACTTACTAAGTATTGAACTTTGAAAATTTTCATATTGATATCTCGATTTTGGGGGACTGTAACTCATTAAATATGAAACCAAAATTAATAAAATTATAGTATAAAATCATGTACGAACTCTCTCCGACTTTAAATGAATGAGATATGCATGTGTTAACATTTTCACAGAATACAAAGTACAAAAACAAATAGATGAAAAGTTGAAAATTTTCAGTTTTGATATCCCGACTTCGTAAACTATAAGTTGGAAAAAAACCACATGTCAATTCGACTTTAAACGAATTAGATTTGCATGTTTTAAAACTTTCATCGAATACAAAAAAACAAAAAAACTAAAAACGTCCAGCTTTGATATCTCGACTTTGGGATACTGTAAGTCAATTAATATAAAACTAAAAATGGCAAATTTATAGTCTAAATCATGTACAAACTCTAAATTACATGTTGGAAAAAACTGAATGTCAATCGGAGTTGAAATGAATGAGATATGCATCTTTTAAACGTTTCACAAAAACCGGTTCCGATCATAAAAGTGGTTCTGCTTCCTAACAACGCTTCTGGTTTTTAGACTCGGTTTACCTCGACCCGATGGACCCAAACCCGGATTATCCGGAACCCGGAAAAAGCCAATTTTTAAACCCGGAACCGGAACCGATTCTATATATTCCAGCTCCGGTCTGATTTTCCGGTTCTAAATCTCATCCCTAGCTACCATGTCATTCCGGTTCCAAGCCCATTTATGTTTTCAAGCGAGACATGCATGTTGAAAACCAATTGGATTGGAATCAAATTGAAGCCAGAGAGGAGAATGAAATAAATACTAAAGAGATAATGACTTGAGAGGGTAACAAACTATATCTTTGTATATATTTGGTCACTTAATTTTTTTTTTGATGCACTATTAACCATTAAACTTGTTTTTTTGTTCAAAACATACCATTATTACTTGCAATAGCAAGTAAAACCTATTTTTGGGGGGTTTGACTTCCACGTCCGGCGATATCTCCCGTCATCTTCTCCGGCGAAATTTCTAAGATTTACAAGACTTAGGGATTTCGCTTACAATCTAATTCTTTAATGCACCCAAGAACTTCAAACATTCTCAATTTACTCCAACACTGGATGACATTTTACAAGATATGATGTTGTTGCTCACATTTTTGAAAAGCATGTTTAAATTTTGAACTTCAAAGATCTTCCAACTGCTAGAAATGCATCCAAGAACTTCAAACATTCATGAAAGAAACCACTTGAGCGCTTGTTTACACCTGCTATAAAGTATAATCGATCTTCTTCCCTGTTCTTGATATCATAGGAAGTAATGGGATTGAACCTTTGAAATTATTTTCATTGAAATCATGGATCATGACAGGGGTAAATCAGGAAAACAGAAGATGGATTTCGAAAGTGGGGAATGAAGATGAACACACGAACACAGACAAAGACACAAAAGCACAAAACCCTTCATATTTCGATTTTGATTCTAGATCTTGCTTTGAATTCGATTTCATCCTTCAGATTTCGATTTCCTCTTAAGTTGAACATGAACACACAAAAAATCCTAGCTTCCAAAATCGATTTTTATGATAAATGATGGCAGATCTGAAATCATATTTCGCACTGAACCACTAGGTTTGTTTTTCTCCTAATTTTCCATAAATTGATTTTACTTTGAAGAATAATACATGATTTTGAACTTTGATTCTTTTTCTGAAGTCTGATACATGATAAAAAAAATTATATATTGAAGTGTAATAAATGATTTTTGAAGTATGAGAAGATGAACATAAATGTGGCTGAAGAAGATAACCGGAGCTTGGCGACTGTTTAAAGGGAAATGGCGTAGTCGGTGATGGAGAAGGGATGTGAAGGAGGAGACGAAGGCGTCGATGATCGGAAGCTCTGAAAGACCTTTGTCTTTGAACAAAACCACCGCCCACCGGAGACGTTGTCGGAGGTAACGAACGCCGGAAATGTTGTCGAAGGTGGAACTCAACCCCCCCCCCCCCCCAAAACAAGTTTTACTTGCTATTACAGGTAATAATAGTATCTTTTAAACAAAAACAACAAGTTTAATGGTTTTACATTGTACAAAAAAAAAACGTTAAGTGACCAAATATGTGCAAATAATATTGTTGGTTACCCTCTCAAGTTATTATTCCAATACTAAATGGTTGTGCTATATAGATTAACTGGAAAATTAGTTTTTGCATGATAAGCTAAGCTCACGGTGATAAAATAATAGTTTTGATAAAACTAGTTGATAAATATAAATTGATATAAATTGACATTTAATAAGCTATTTGAAATAGTATTAAGTATCAATTAGTTATCACAAATAGCTTTTTAATAAGCTATAGTTTATAAGACCATCATGTATAGTTACACCAAAAACATCTTTGGTCTATATGGCCACGCACCATAATTGTAAACATCATACTATATTTTTAGTGGTAGCTAATAGAGGAAGAATTGGTGGTTAATTGTTGTGAGGAAAACGAACCACTACATCCAATGAGCATCTTTCTCTCTCTCTACATCTTAATATATATATATATATATATATATATATATATATATATATATATATATATATATATATATATATATATATATATATATATAAAATCAAAAAATAAGAGGTATATAATGGTTAAACATGATGATGAGTTAATACCATATAGTGCTTAGTTGTGAATATAAGGGATGATTTAACTTATTTAATGGTGTTACAAAATAGACAAACACTAGGCGACAATAAACTTAATTAAAAAAAATGGCTAGCTTATAAATGGCATAGCCTTAAATTTGAATTTGATTGTGGTTTAGATCGGCCCATAAACACATACTCATGTTTGTTTCAGTGAGAGAAAAACAAAAGGTAAAATAGTGCCATTTTAACTGTGGAAGTTGAAAAAAAAAAGGGTTTTGTTCCAAAATCCAAATTCAAAACGGATCCGGGTTGGATGGCTTCAAGACCCAAATCTAGCTATTATGTAATTGTTTTCTTTTCCGGCTACTCTCTTGCTAGTCCGGTTTTTCTTTTAATAAAATTCTGCTATTAAATAAATAAAAAAATTAAAAAAAAAAAAAGCCCGGATCAAACTGAACTAATTTCATAAACATTTCCAAACAGTGAACCAAAAATATAGGATACTGAGAAAATTACGTAAAAGAAAACATTTCAATTGGGTGGAACAGCTTTAAACTTACTCAAAAGTGTATATAATTTCTTAAACTGCTTACCTCAAACAAATTGAATGAATACTTTAATAATAGTTATTGTACTAACATTATAGATCTAAGTTTTTTTTTTTTTTTTTTTTTTGTTTTTTTTTGTTTTAGGAAAATAACAAGAGTAAGGTGCTGTTTGTTTTTTTTAAGTCAAAATGTCTGCAGTCTGCGGACCACATCTGCAAGCCTCTGCGGCAGAAGAGGTGGACCAAATGTCTGCAATCTGCAATAAGAAGACTGTTTGTTTTTAACGTCTGCGGGCCGTTAAAATAAATTGAATTTTTAAACTTAATTTCATTTTATAAACATTAAAAATGTATTTTTAACAAAAAAATGAAAGAAAAAAAAAAACTGCACGGTGGCCATGTTTTTTTTTTTTTTTTTAGGTTAAAATGAGGTCTGAAGACCTTTGAAGACAGTGGCCCATGTCTGCGCCAGGAAGACCTCGCGCAGACGTTTTCTGATCTGCGCACTTCCAAAAAACAAACAATCTGCGAGGGCATATGTCTGCGCATTGTCTGCGTAGCGCAGACAAAAGTGGTTGCGCAGATCTTCAAACAAAAAACAAACAGCCCCTAAGTCTCTCAATTAAGAAGTCATGAGTTCATGGCCGTGTTTGGCGTGCCATAGTTAGCTGATAAGTTAACTTATTTTTCGAGCTTTTTAATGTTGTTGTGTTTGGTAAGCCAAAAAGTAGTTTATAAGCTAGCTTTTTGAAAAGCTACTTAATCTAGCTTTTTAGGAGTTTTTTTTAAAAATTTCAAATACACCCCTTAATTAACTATAGAAACACATACTTTCACATGTCATTTTATGTAATTTCAGCTAGTTTTACCAAATATTATTTTTTATGAGCTACCTTTTCAGCTATCAGCCAGCTTTTCAGCTAACAACTAACTTTCAGGTAATACGTCAAACATAGCCCAAATCTTTTTGGAGACATATGCGATAATTTAGGAATAAATTAGTTTGCCGTTTAAAAAAAATCAAATTCTCCCATCCCACCATTTCTGTAAATGCCTGTGTTCAATTGTTATACGACATTCAAATCCATCGACAAATGGATTTCAACATCCCATCGTGAAGCATATTAAACTGTTACCCATACAAATTTACGATTTTTTTCTTTATATATATATATATATATATATATATATATATATATATATATATATATATATATATATATATATATATATATATATATATATATATATATCTTGCTTTAATGTTATCTCTACGGTCATTTAATCAAGACCTATGTGATAAAGAGTTAAAGAAAGAAAGAAAACATGTGTACATGGACGTGGGCATGGTGTTGTAAGTGGGATAGGATAAGGGAGAGCTATGTGTGAGGGTGTGGATGTGAAGTAGATGGATAGAACTAAGTAGGGTGTGAGAAAGATGATTATAATTAGTTTGCTTTGATGAATCATGATTAAACAAAATGATGAGAGTCTTTTTAATAAAACATAAACAATTGAATTTAAAATCTTTGACATTAGCTAAAGGATGACAAACTCATTAAAATACAAAATTTATTAGAATTTAAAGAATTATAATTTCTTTGATTTTGTTAAGCAAACACAATTTTTATTGCAATTTACACTGTAATTCCTCCAAACTCCTTCGAAATTCATGAATCAAACACACCATTAGATATAAAGTTTTAGGCTGGAAGGTGTCGGATATCATAAAATTAAGATGAAGCCTATGTGACATGTTTTGCCATAATGAACACCATGTCTTGTGCATGGTTTGGGTTGTACAATTTGGTGATCTCTCTCTCTCTCTCTCTCTCTCTCTCTCTCTCTCTCTCTCTCTCTCTCTCTCTCTCTCAAATGGTATACCATGCTTAGTGCATGATTTTGTTATTGTCAAAATGAAGTGGAGTGTGGTAATGGTGACACCACACCCTCCTGCCTTATAAAGAAAGAAATGCATCAATAAATTAGAATTTAATCATGTGTTTGGTTGACATAAAACATAATGAATTTTTTGTTGTGTTTTATGTCAAGTTTGCAAATCTATCCAAAGAATTATAATGTAAAATTGTAAATATTGATTTTTATAAACTTTTATTCTATAAAAATAATGATAGTTTTTGTCGTACTTTTTTTTTTTAAATTTATTTAGTCATAAATTTTAAACTTTTTTAATAAAAAGGCATTGTGTTCCATTTGGACATTTGATTTCAAATCTGGAGAAAATAACCCACACCAAAACATAGATATTTTAAATATGTTTTTGGAATGGTTAATATTGTCTTTAAATTGAGCAAAAAAAATGAATATTTACAAAATTTTTGGGTTTTAGGTGTTATTGTTTTTTGTCTGCAGATCTTTTTGGTCTCTTTTGTTTGTACCGTACAGACCACGCGTAGATATTAGGCTTCGAAGACTGTTTTTTTTTTTTTTTTGAAGACTGCAAACCAAAAAAAGGTATGTGTCCTCTTTTTAACGTAGATATGGACCATAATCTTCAAACCTCTTCAGACACTTTCTAACCTAAAAAACATATATACTCTTTTTTTTTTTTTTTTTTTTTTTTTTTTAATTTTTTTTCAATTTAGATTTATTTCAACTTTATCTATGATAAATAAATTGGAAAAAAAAAGTTATAATACTTAAAGAAAAAAAAGGTTGGATAGCACAATCATGACCTTTGTGACAAATTTATAAATAAATATATAATTATAATAATAATCTTTGGAGTTGTTTATACAAATATACAAAAAAAAATTATAATATTGTCTTATATTTTTTTGTACCAAATTATAAAATATTATTTAATGCAACATCGTTTATTTTTTGGGAAAAATATTTATGATCAGTTTTTAATTGATTTAGTTGAAAAAATCAAATAAAAATTTTGAAAAAATTCATTTAAAATCAAAGTTTATTTTCATTCATATTATATGTTAAATTATTTTATCCATAATTATAATGTTTAAGTATAAATTTACAACAAAGTTTGTTGGTTTTTATCAAATATATATGATAATTTTTACCATTTTATTTTCACTTTTTATACAATAATACACAAAAATTAATTTGCATTTATTAATTATATATAATAAAATCATAAAATTATTATTAAAAAAAAAAAAAAAACTCTTTTAAGTTTTTTATAAAAATCAGTTTAATTAGATTTTAGTTTATTCTAATGCAGATGTTAAAAAACAATCTTCTTTTTTCAGACTGCAGACGTTTGATCTACATCTTCTACTGCAGGCGTTTGTATATATGGTCCGTAGATTGCAGACATTTTGTCTTTAGAAAAAAACAAACATGATTTTGGTACTATTTGTATCTTTGTTAGAGACATATTGCATGGAAGGACACATTTCTCCTTTCAATAAAATAGGGAGAATGGAATTTAGATAAAATTCCTTTAAACATAGATTTCAAACAGAAAAAGAGAGCAAATTATTGGCGTTCCCCAAGTGATCAACAAAATTTACATGACATGCTAGTTTTGTCTGTGAATGACATAAAAACACTAAACCATGAAATTAATTTATAAAAAAAATTCCAAATAAAAAGTCTGACGAAATAAAAACTAAACCAAATATCAAACTTTCAAAGCACCCAAGGTAGGTAGGTAGGTCTTTACCCCCCAAATATAACCTCTCTTTAACCCCACTCCCAAATGCAAATGGTGTTGCTTCTTCAAATAACCTCCTACATTCATTAATCCACCTTCAAGAATTCATTCATTGCACTTTCAACACATTTTTATCAACTGCCAATATAAACAACATCACTTACTTTTCCAATTCCTGAGAGAGTATTAGTATTACATTTCTGGCCCCTGAGTTTAGCTGTCTTTTGAAATTTTGGTAACAAAATATTTTATTTTGCAATTTTAGGTCCATATGTGAGGTTCTTATAACTTTTCTGGTAATTGTTCTACGTATGAAAAAATCAGTTATAACGAGGGACCAAAAATGTAATTTAGTCCAGAAGCGAAAACTTACATTAAACATAGCTGGGTTCCTTGATCAAGCTTCCATCGGATCCACCAGAAAGTTCCTTAAGCTCAGCCTGCAATCGTTCATATTTCTCTTTAACAGCAGCAACAATCATGACATCAGCAACCTCCTCTTTCAGTTTATTTTCCAAATTCTTAATCCTATCCTTCGATTCCTTGCTAGGGTTTTTTTTGTGTTTCACCGCCTCAAATTTCAACAGCTCAATTTTACTTTTCAATTCCGGGGTATTCTCAATAATATCTTTAATTATCTTATTAATTTCCGCATTCAGTTCATTAACTTTCGCCTTCACCATCTCCATAGAAGTTTGACCCATCCGTGAAACAACATGGACACCCGAAGCTTCTAGAGCATTCACAAATTCCGTTTCCACTTCTGCCCTTACCTCCATCATCTTCTCCTTCAGATCCTCATCCAGACCATCGCCTCCCAGTGTCTCGATCTCCGCTTTCAGTCCCTCGATTTTGTTTTTCAGAATCGGATTTTCCAAAACTTGTTTGAACTTCTCGTTCACTTTAGTCTTCAATGGAAGGGTTTTTTTGTAATTTTCCGCGACTGCTTTCGCTACTTTGATTTCGTTCAACAAGTTTAGTTTGTATTTCAGCTTATTGTAATTAGGAGCTGTTGGTAACTTCACTTGGAATTCTTTCTTTAGATTCTTGAGATCCTGGATTTGATCAGAAGCCAACTCTTTTTCTGTATCGAAATTGTCACGCATATAATTTATTTTGTCCTCGATTCCTAAAGCTTTTGCAGCTACAGAAAATTCATATTCAACTTCTCTTTCGAGCTTTTTGACGAGGCCATTTTGGTCCATATCGGGAGCTATTGAAGATGATTCTTTTGCTTTCATGATTTGCTCTTTTAGCCTATTGACTTCATTCTGCAAGGCTTGATTGGAAATAAGTCCAGGTTTTGGTTCTTCCTTTTGTTTCATGTTGACTTTCTTTTCTGGGTCAACGGGTAGACCTTCTTGGAATCCACCAATCTTGCGAAATTTGAGCATTCGATGTTTTAATAGCTGTGGAGTATCCATCTTTTGAAGTTCCTATTTATAATAAACAACAAAAACACACATTAATTGTGTACTAATTTCTTAATATAGATCAAAGCATAAATAGGCTTAATGTTACTCACATCCATTGATTCAAGAATGACTTTTTTAATTTGCTGAGAGGTCCACTGTGGATCAGCATGAGCACCACCAAGTGGTTCCTGCAATTAAAATTATAAAGTTTACCCTCAATTAAATATAAATTTAAAAATATTATTTTTTATTACAATTAATTATTCTTACAGGGATGATGCCATCAGCAATTTGAAGCTTAGTAAGCTCAGTAGCAGTGATCTTGAGCTTCTCAGCTGCCTATACACAAGAAGAAATTATATAAACTTTCAAGAATTATATAATATTCATGTACAATTACAAATAAATAAAAAATAAAAATTTTCACTACCTTTGGAGCAGCTTTGGCAGTCTTCCATAGAATTGCTGCACATGCTTCAGGGCTATAGCATAAGAATTATAAGTTATTTCAGTAATTAGTAAGTGCAAAACTAAAAACACAATAGATATCTAATGATTTTAGAAACCAAATAACACTACTGTTTTTATAAAAGTTTCTTATTTCGAAAGAGTGAAATTTGATTCATCTATTCTAAAGGTTAGATATAGTTGTAAGACTTTTAGAATACTGTTTCACTTTGGGCTGAATGAACAGTCTGAAAGACGGTAAATGACCATTTTACCCTTCTATTTAAAAAAAAAAAAAAGTTAACATCCATCCACCCATTTCACAGTAACTAAAAAAGAAACAACACCTAACAGTTAGTTCATTTATATCACCCTCAATCTTTGACTTGTAGGTTTTTGACATTTTGTGTAAAAAAGTGGGATCAATCAGACTTTTTGGGAATTAAATTAAAAGTCTCCAAGAGCCAGCTATTTTTAAAATTGAAAATGGTGTAAACAAATAATGAATTCATATAACCCTCATTATGTACAAAAATAAAAAAAAAGAAGATAAAATCTAGTCACCTGGCAACATAGAAAACAGCATTTTCAAGCATCAGCAATTTATTAGCACAACCAATGGCCAAAGCACCTCCAGATCCACCTTCACCTATCACAATGGATATGATTGGCACCTCTAAACCAAACATAGTCCTTAAATTATGAGCAATGGCTTCACCCTGCATACACATAAATGATGGTTTTATTAACACATTAGGCCAAGTTTTTTGACTTACCACATTCAGACATTCATAACACATTAAGTCAAAACAAAGCACCCCTATCTATTGTATCCATTAAGTCCATTAAATCAAAAAGAAAAAAACAAATGCACATATATGTTTATACATACCTGACCTAACTCCTCTGATTTAAGGTCAGCAAATGCCCCCTGGAGTGTCAATGAAAGTCACAATAGGGAAACCATGGTGATGTGCATAGTACATCATACGTAGAGCCTTTCGGTATCTGTAAAAAACATAAATTTATATAGCAAAAATGATTTTAAAAAGTGTAAATAAAAAAGTATCATATATTAACATAATATTACCCATGTGGTGTAGGCATTCCAAAGTTACGTTGAATATTTTCTTTGGTATTTCTACCCTTTTGATGACCAATAAACATGAATCGCCTTCCTTCTATTGTTCCAATTCCAGTTACTATTGCAGGATCATCATAACCACCTCTATCACCATGAAGCTCAACAAACTGTACATTTTGGAATGCAAAAGGGTATATCCGGAATTTCGTAATTCATATCATATTCTTTCAGTTTAGAAATGTTCTAATCTAAGAAAGCATAGAGTAACATTAACACACCTTTTCAGTAATGTTGAAGACATGATCAAGAAAAGTTGGCCTGTTAGGGTGTCGTGCAATGTTAACACGCTGTATTGGAGTCAAGTGTGTGTAGAGATCTTTAAGAGCCTGTAGATGATAAAATAATAAAATAATAAAAGTCAGCAGACATGAGTCACATGACATTATTACAATTGTAATTTATATTTATACAAAAGGGTTGTTTTTTCCAGTTACAAGTAACTGAACCTGTTGGTATTTATTCTCTAAAGAAATGATTTGATCACTGAAGTCCAAACCGGTTTCATTAGCCATCTTTTGAACCTGAAAACAACAAAAATGAAAGTTTAAGACATGTTCCAATTGTACCCTACAGAGCAATAATATCACAGAAGTTTAGGAGGATTTACATCAATGATTTTCTTCTGGAGATCCATAAGAGGTTTCTCAAATTCCAAGGTGACAGGTTTTGGCTTCTCCTTTAATGGCTTGAATGGGGATAGATGACTAAGAACTCCACCCTTCACGTTGGGATCAGGATCCTGGGGCCATGGGTAATCGTGCTTCTTCACCTTCCTTACCTTTGCAGTGATACTTAAACCCTTCCTCCCTGTGTTTACATGCCCTTTGCCTAAAGTTCGTAGGGGTATGCCATTGATGCCATTACTTGAGCTTCGAAGAAGATCTGAAGCTGATGTTCCAGAAGACAAGCTTCCAGAAAAGGTAACAGGAGACGGAGGTACAGAAGCCATATCTGTACCCAAAAGTATAGCACTTAAAACTCCCACAAATAGCAAAAGAAATGATATAAAAAGGGGCAAATATACATCAATCTGAAACCAGTTTCTGATATATAAATATTGGGAAAAGTCAGCATTTTAGTTGAACTCCCACCAAATCCTAATTTCTTTTCCATAAATCCATCAAATCGTAGACTTATTCATTAAGAAATTAAAGTAGTTTAATAAACAAGTTACGAAAGCACGATGTTTGTATTTATCTAATCTCGTTGCATGCTATATTGATTTTCTAACAAATCAAGCAACATAACCGTAAGCATTCCAGTGCCAAATCAGTTTAAACGCGATTTGATTCCAAGAAAAGTAGAAAATCAACAATTATATCACCAAAAACCACTCCATTAACCTACTTCCGGCGATCCTCGAAGATGATTAAAGCAGAAAGAAATCAGTTTAAACTAAAAATATTATGACAGAATCAATAAAAATTCAATCAAGCATTCATCAATTAAGAGTTTGATAATGCATCAAAAGCAAAGAAGCTGAAGGAATCAAATCAAGCAAATTGAAAATATTACCTGCGATTTTCGATCGCTAAGAGTAAAAAGATCTGAAATTGAGCACTTGGAGAGAAGGGATTTTGAGCTGGAAGCGAAGAGGAACAGAGAAAGAGGAGATTTATTACGAAGTGAGGAGAGAGAGGGGTAGCATCGAGAAGATCGTCAGTGGTTTTTGGGTGTTTATGTGAACTTCAATTCTTCGATACTTCTTATGCATTTGGAGGCGGAGGGATTTGAGCCAGCTATGATCTGTTTGGCTTTGGCAGTTGAAAGTGGGTGAGCCAGTGAGCCGGTGAGTCAGCCATGGGCTAGACCATGGTTGGACCTGATTTCACACGAGTTAGGAAATGTTACACGTGTGTGGTAGCGATGTCTTCGATGATGGCTCCCATTGGGGTGTACTACATGAGATTTGTAATGAATTTGTATATGCATTGTTTGTTTATATTTCACACTTGTCAAATATGCAATTGGATAAAACAATCTTGATTTCTTTTTCTTTGTTGATTGCTCGGAATATTTTAGTATTCTCCTAATTTAATTACAACTAGTGTTTAAGTTATATTTTTTTAACTCAGATCGTCCTTGTATTATCTCAAACCGTCCATGTATTATCTTTTTTTCATTCAGAATGTTCCCGTATTATCTTTTTTTCATTCTTGTCCAAATGTTAAATTGAACGTTTAGTTCATTTTCAAAAATTAACTCAGACCGTCCCTGTATTATCTTTTTTTCATTCAGGTCGTCCCTATACATTAAGATGACTATTTTGCCCTTAATAATTTCTTTTTAAAATTTTCTTTTATTAATTTATAATTTTTAGATTAATATATATATATATATATATATATATATATATATATATATATATATATATATATATATACACCCAAGAACACCCTAACCCCTTCCTTGATTTCCTTCAGCCCATTTGTTTCCCTCTTTCCCATTCACCTCCATCCCCCGTTCAAAACCCTAGATCCACCTGTATCTCCGTTTAAATTAAGAGAATTTGAGGTACAGAGAGGTGCGAGCGACGATGATTCAGTTGATAGTGAACACTAGATGGTTCGATAATGGCAGCACATTTTGAAGTTATGGTCATCTTCTTCGAGTTTGCTTCTCGTTTGGGAGTTGAAGCCATGTCCATGATTGCTCTACATTTCGAAGCAGACCACCTGAAGTGAAACACCCCAAAAACACAGTCCAAAAATTTCGTTTTGAAAATCATTATAAAACCATAAATCATCCATAGTCATAAAGAAAACCATGTATAATGTATCTCAAAACATCATATAAATACTATGACAAAACATGTGATACAAATATTAGTGTCTCAAATAATCCTAGGCTGAATGCTATATTGTGTGTCATGCGATCACCCCGAGCCCTTCCCCTTGCTACTGGAAGTACCTGAAACCAAACTGAAAACTATAAGCACGAAGCTTAGTGGGTCTCCCCAAACTACCATATACCATACAAATAACATGCAATTAGGAGATACTATAAGCATGAAGCTTAGTGAGTCTCCCCAAACTACCACATACCATACAAATAACATACAATTAGGAGATACGAGCCCTACCCACTCTCATGGAGATTCGGGCCCTGCCCACACTCCGCTACTAACATGCATACAAGTATCACACAAACAACAAGTATATCTATCAAACAACAAGTATATCTATCAAACATCCACTCTGTTTCTCCGGATCTTCGGAGCGTCAGGACTCGCTTAAGGTATCGGGGATGGTACCGGGGCTTCGGGGGGGGGGGGGAGGGGGTTAAAAGAAGGCTAAAAGATGAGTAGAGTAGGAGGGGGGGGGGGTTGAGAAATTATCAATCAAACCCAGTTGCCTTCGGTTTATATTTATAGGGCTGAAATTTCAGATTTCACGTCGTGAATCACTTGTTCACGTTGTGACCTTGGACGTCATCAGGTGCGTAGTCGCGATGTTCAGTCTGTCAGGCTTTAGAAGACGTCAGCACTGAGTTCACGTTGTGAACCCCTTTTTCACGTCGTTAACTGTGACACAATGTTGGGGTTCGCTCCCCGAACTTCAGAAATTCATAACTTTCGCATACGAGCTCCGTTTTCGACATTTTTTATATCTACATGTAGGTGATAATATGCTCTACAACTATCGTTTAGACTCTCTCGGCTAATTTTGAGTTTAATTTTTATTATATTTATTTTTAGTAGGCTGGGACAGGAAAACTCCGTTATAAACTCATAACTTCTTCATTTGACGTCCGTTTTCGTCTGTCTTTTTACCGTTGGACTGCTATCAACGAGATCTTCGATTCTTGTTTAGATTGTTTCGACCATAAACCACTTGATCTCATATTCGAACTTCGGGCTGCATACTGCTAAGCTGAAACTTAGAAAAATCATAACTTCCTCATACGCAGTTAGATTTAGACGTTCTTTTTATGCACGCTCTCGGTTTAACGTATTCTACGACTTTCGTTTATATCGCTAAGGCCAAATATCGCTTTATCGTAAATTCACTATTTACGTCGCGCTTTGTCATGTCGGTTTTGTCGCGAAACTTCGACAGATCATAACTTCTTCGTTATAACTCAGATTTCGACATTCTTTATGTATCTGGAATCCTTCTCACGGCCACTACAACTTCGTTAAGATTATTCATTCTAAATAATATTCTATCAAAAAGTCATTTTTGATGCTCATTGTCTCTAAATTGACTAGCCCTGATCTACGGGCGTTACAAGATGTTACAATTCACCCCCACTTGAATCAGACTTCGTCCTCGAAGTCTCCTATTGCTGAATCCTGAAACAACTTGAGGTAGTGCTCCCCTCCCTCATATCCTCCTCGGTCTCCCAAGACTACTCTGAACCCTTTTGGTGCTGCCACTGCACCTTCACTAACTCGACTCTTTTGTTTCTTAACTCCTTCGTCTTGCGATCCAGAATTGCTACTGGCTTCTCAGTGTAATTCAGGCTGTCATCAACTTGAATGTCCTCCAAGGGTACAAATGTTGTCTCATCTACTAGGCACTTCCGTAGCTGGGAAACATGGAAAGTTTTTTTGGATCTGGCTGAGCTCGGCTGGAAGATCCAATCGGTATGCCACCTTACCCACCCGGGCTATGACCCTGAAGGGGCCGATGTACCTAGGGCCCAGCTTGCCCCGCCTCCGAAACCAGATAACACCCTTCCAGGGTGACACATTCAGGAGGACCATGTCGCCCACCTGAAACTCCAAATCCAAACACCGTTTGTCAGCGTAACTCTTCTGCAAACTCTGAGCATTCTGGAGCCTACTTCAGACCTGTTGTATCCGCTCCGTGGTCTTGAGTACCACCTCTTTACTCCCCATGACCCTCTGAGCGACCTCACCCCAATAGATTGGGGTCTCACACTTCCTACCATAAAGCATCTCGAAGGGAGGCCGGTCTATACTAGCATGGTAGCTATTGTTATATGAAAATTCCACTAACAGAAGATACGTATCCCAACTGCCACCGAAATCCAACACACATGGTCTAAGGATGTCCTCAAGATTTTGAATCATCCTCTCGCTCTGTCCTTACATCTAAGGGTGGAAAGCGGTGTTGAAATGGAAATGAGTACCCATCTCATCGTGAAACTACTTCCAAAGTCTGGAAGTAAAACAGACATATCGATCTGGCACCACCAAGACAGGCACTCCGTGTCGTGCCACTACCTATCACACATAAATCTTGGCCAGCTTCTCGGCCAAGATTCTCTCTTAGATCGGTATGAAGTGGATGCTCTTGGTCAACAGATCCACGATGACCCAAATCGCATCAACTCCTCGTGCGGTCTTGGGAAGCTTAGTGATAAAATCCATAGTAATGTCCTCCCATTTCCACGTGGGAATGTCTAACGGATGCATCTTGTCGTGAGGCTGTTGGTGCTCTGCCTTGACCTTCCTGTAGGTCAGGCACCTCTCCACGTACCAAGCTACGTCCCGCTTCATGCAGGGCCACCTGTAATCGCATCGAATATCTCTATACATCTTCGTCGCCCATGGATGGATAGATAACCTTAGGCCTGACAATCATGTCGTGTTCGGGTTAGCGTGTCGCAGGTTGGCGGGTTGACAGGTCAAAATATGTCAACCTAAATACGACCCATTTAAATATACAGGTCACGGATTGACGGGTCACGGGTTGGCGGTTTGGAAGATAAACTCGTATATGACCCGCAAATCCATTTATTTATAAGGGTTCATAGGTTGGAGGGTTCGTGGGTCAGAGTTAGCTTCGTGAGTCAGATTACGACTTACGACCTTAGGGAAATTGCAAAATGGTTACAGACTTAGCCTTACAGGTTACGACTTACGACCTTAGGCCATCCACCACGAGTCAAAATGTTAAAACAGTCAAAATGGTCTATGAATCAATGGCATATATTATATCATACTTATTAAATATTAATACTTTATACATATATACATTTAAAAATAAAATAATTTTTTTTTATTAAAAATATAAACAGGTTGGCGGGTTATTTTTTGAGAAACCCATATATGAACCGTGTAATAAACGGGTTGGCAGGTCGGTGGGTTAGCGGGTTGGCGGGTTGAAAAACTCAACCCAAACCCCTTTATTTTGTGTCGTGTCGTGGTTCGTGTCGCGGGTCATGTCGAGAATTATCAGCCCTAGATAACCTAGACTTGTGGGCCTCATCCATCAATATATGTCGTACCCTGCCCCAGTACGGTACCCGGACCCTCCCATGCAGGGTCAACAACCCACAGCTTTCATAGTCAAAGGAGGCCACCTGATCTATGATCCGCTCACACTTTCGACACTCCTCCTTTAGGCCCTCGACATGCGCCTCGCGAATCTGCTCCAGCAGTGGAGTAATCACTGTCATCCACAGATAAATGTCTCAGATCTGCGTTTTCAACTTCATCCATTAGCTTGAAAAAAATCTGAAAACAAACCATGTGTTGTAATGTAAGCCATGAATCAGTACAACTTCTTTTTCTGCATATATACGACTGATTATGTAGCAACATGCTTCCATTTATATATTTATTTATTATAACATCCTACATTGGTAGCTACTTTCATATCTTTTTAGTACATACATGATTCTACTTCCAATCTTTCTGTTATGAGCATCTCCAATGGAAGGTTATTTTATATCTTATTGCTATTTCAACAAGTCTTTGTTGACCATTGGAGTGGAAAATGTTTTTTGATATTTTATCCAACCATTTCAGTCATTTTTTAAACTTTGTTATATTTGACTAATAAATCTATTTTGTTAAATATGCAAAATAATTTTGAACATTTTTTGTATTAGAACTACATACATGATCAATATCAAATGGCATGTGCTCAAAAACAACAAATTAGATAAGGGTCTTTAAACAATATTTCAAATAGATGCGGATACACATGTAATTCTTAAAAAAAGGTTTTGCATTGGAGATGATATGTAAAGATAGTTTTTTTTTTTATTTATTATTTTTATTTTTTTTTTATAAATAAAGTTGGTGAAAATATTATAGGGCAAAATAAGAAAGGTCAACTACCGTGGATGCTCTAAGAGATTGTACTTCATATAATTTACCTAATTATCGCATTGTACATTCAATATTTTTCTTATCAGGACATACAAAATCTATCCAAATATAGCAGTGAAAACTGAAAGGTACAATGTTGTAATGGGAAGAAACAAAAGTAGGATACCATCAAGTAGGTGTGGAAGAATTGGCCTGATTTAGCTAAGATCTACAAATTAGAGAAATATTTTCCAGGCTTATTAAATTGTATATGTGTGAAAGAAAGAAAGAAAGCACAATATAAAAGAAGATCAGTTAAACTAGATGAGCATTTTACCTTTGTAGGATTTAACAAAAGAACGCAATGCAAAAACAGAATCAACACGACCTGGAAGCTCATGGTCACGCATCCCAGCAATGACACTTTGTAGTGTTTTGCGGAAATTATTTGGGTCAGAGAAACTTATATGGGCATATTGTCATGTATCCCACGCAGCCTAACATTTGAAAATAATGTTTTAGATTTAAAGTTTCCACCAAATAGGGATACAACAAGATAATGACCATCAATCATCAACCAACATACACACACAACATTAAATAAAAATTTAAAGTTTCCACGTAGCAACAACACTTTCTGC